GTGTGTGTGTATATATATATATGTATGTGTATATATATATATATATATATATATATATATATATATGTGTGTATTTTTTTTTTCCCCAAGAAGATATTCCAAGTTTTGTAGCACGGGGGTTATGAGCCTGGTCTCTGGTACCAGACATTCTGGGTCCTCGGAAGGAAGATGGGGCAATGTACTTCCGTAGTGATACTGCCTCAGAAACCCAAGGAGGGGTCGCTTTGAGTCAGGTCCGACTCGACGGCACATAACAACAACAACAGCAAGCCCTGGTGGTGTAGGGGTTAAGGCATTTGGCTGCTAACCAAACAGTCAGTGGTTCAAACCCACCAGCTGCTCCACAGAAGAAAGATGAGGCAATCTTCTTCTATAAAGATTTATAGTCTTAGAAACCCAGTGGGTTTCTCACTGTGAGTTGGAATCAGCTCAATGGCAGTCAGTTTACTGACTACCTGAAGGAGCCCTAAAGGCACAGTGGGGAAAAGCACTTAGCTGCTCACCAAGAGGTTAGCAGTTCAAACCCACCAGCTGCTCTGTGAAAGCAAGATGGGCAGTCTGCTGCCATAAAGGGTACAGCCTTGGAAACTCTACAGGGCGGTTCTACTCTGTCCTCTAGGGTCATTATGAGGAATTGATGGCAGTAGATTTGAGGTTTTTATTTTATTTTATTTTATTTAACTGATTGCCTGTGTAATCCTAGTGCCTATCTACTGTTTGGCTGGAAGCCATGGGGGTGAGTTCAGTTCCAGGCCTGAAGGATGACTAGGCATCACAATCTCAGGGGTTTCACCAGTGTCTATCAGGCCAGTAAGCCTGGTCTTTTTGATGAGTTTGAGTCTTGTCCCACACTGTTCTCCCATTCAATCCAGGATCTCCTGCCCTGATCCGTTTCCAGACGTTGGCAGCGGTGGCCAGGCACCATCTAGTTCTTCCGGTCTCAGGTCTTCTTGACATTCTTAATTGGGAGATCTGTAGTTTACCCATAGCCTCTCAGGGAAACTGGTGCAAAGCTGCCGTGGCTCTGTAAATCACACTGAGAACTTTATAATGATTTCATTAAAGATAGCAACAGCTGCCAATGTTTATTAAACATCTGCTTTGTGCCAGGCATGGTGCCACTGCCGCCGAACCAGAGTCACCTTGTTTAATCAGTGAAAGTAGTGGGATCAAATTGTCCTGCGACACTATGAGCTAGCTGCCTTCTCTTCTCAAGTATCCACTCGGAAACTATGCCAGCCTGCGGAAAAAGAAACAATCCACCATAAATCCGTGTCAGGTGAAAAGTCAATGAAAACATCACAGTCCAGCTGCTGTCAGGCGGACTCCAGCTCACAGCCTCCTCTGGGTACGCTCTGACCTCCGACCTGACTGCTAGCAGCTGAACGTGTCAATCGAGTGCACCACCCGGGGCTCTAATATGCTTCAAAGACGAAGTTCAGTCAAACAGAAGCTGAGGTAGTTTGTCTCTGGGAACTTTCAAAAGAAATGTTAAAAGAAGTTTTTCACATAAAAGGGAAGTGATAACAGGAATCGGATCTATCCAAAGAAACAAAGAGCCCCAGCAATGAGCAATGTATGAGTAAACGCAAAAGATCATTTTTCTTTTATATAAAAATAAAAATGCTTAAAAATGTAATTGGCTGTTTAACACAAAACTGGAAGCTAGTGCTGTGGGGTTTGTAACGCGCAGAAAGTAAAAGATACATCCAAACTAGCCCACAATCAGCAACGGGGACAGGGCTTTCCAGGTAGACCAAGATCAATTACACGCACATTCCTCAGAGACCCAGATCCTTCGCAAAATGAAGCAAATCCAATCCAACAATATGTAAAATGGATAAAAATTGTGCCTAAGTGGAAGGCCAGTTTGGTTTAACATTTCAAAATCAATCAAGGTAATTCACCCTATTGATCAAATAAAGGAGAAAATCGGTATGATTATCATACTAAACCAACACCAAACCTGAGGTCAAGTCCATTCCAACTCACAGCGCCCCTAGAGGACAGAGTGGAACTGCCCCACAGGGTCTCCAAGGCTGTCAATCTTCACAGACGCAAAGCCCAAACCACACCCACTGCTTGCAGTGGATTCTGACCCACAGGGTCCCTAGAGGACAGAGTGGAACTGCCCACAGGGTCTCCAAGGCTGTCAGTCTTCACAGAAGCAAAGTCCAAACCACACCCACTGCTGTGGAGCCCATTCTGCCCCACAGAGCCCCTAGAGGACAGAGTGGGACTGCCCACAGGGTGTCCAAGGTTGTCAGTCTTTACGGAAGCTGACTGCTTCACCTTTCTCCTGCTGAATGCTGGTGGATCAGAACCGCCTACCTTTTAGTTAGCAGCCAAGTGTTTTAACCACCGTGCTAGCAGAGCTCCTATCATCTCACTAGGTGCAGAAAAAAGCATTTGAGCAACTTCAGCTCCCATTCATAATAAAAACTCACAGCAACCTCCCAACTTCCTGGCAAATATTGAGGGGAATATTTAAAAAACAAACCTAGAGCTGGCCATCTGGACGGGGCTGATAAAATGGTGAATGCTTTCACCGTGTGCACAGCAACAGTGGACAGCAGTGTGAGAATGCACTCTCCCCCCTCACATTAGACTTGACAGCAGGTCGAACCCGCTCACGAGAAAGCAAAGAAAGCCCATCAGGAGAATCTGCTCATAAACAGTATGGTAATGTACACGGAAGACTCCAAGGAATCTGCGGGAAGGGCCCCAGAGCTGATGGCTGAATTCAGCAAGATTGTTAAGATGCAACATCAAATTATAAAAAGCTATTTGATTTCTATAGACTAGCAATGAGCGGTTGGAAAATGACTTTTAAAAATACCATTTATCATAGCAAGAAAAAAAAGAGAGAGAAAGAAACAGAACTAAAAACCCAGGAAATTTTTAGAGATAATTTTAACAAAAGATGGGCAGAACTTCCGCAACAAAAATTTCAAGAAGGCCAGGAAGACTTAAATACGTGGACAGGCAGGCCACGTGAGACCGACAGATCGTTTGGAGGTCAATTCTTCAAACTGATCTGCGGTTCCAATCGTAACCCCAGCATGCTTCTTTCATAGGAATGCACAGTGTGATTGTGAGGTTAATACACAAGCACCAAGTCCCCAGGATAACCGAGACTGTTGAGAAAGAACCACATTACAGCTCTCTCTCTACTCAGTTTATAGACCTACCCCAGAGCCACATGGTCGGGGCCTTCCAAGCTCACGAGAGGCCATCTCAGGTGCAACGACTGGTCTCTCTCTCTCCAGAACAAAGAAAAGTGAAGAAAATCAAAGACACATGGAAACAACGCGCCCAAGGGACCAGTGGACCAGCTGAACCTCAGCCTACATGACCCTGAGACCAAAGGGACTCCAAAACCAAACCAAGTTCACTGCCGTGGTGTCGGATCCGGCTCCTGGTGACCCTCCCTCAGGTTTCCAAGGCAGTAGCGCTATGGAAGTAGACTGCCCAACCTTCCTTCCGAGGAGTGGCTGATGGCTTTGAACCACCAGCCTTCTGGTGAGCAGCCAAGTGTTTTGGGCACTGCGCCACCAGAGCTCTAGATGGTGCCAGTTCCCACTGTCAGCCACTTGGAAAGGGATCTGAAAAGAGTGGGAGAAAAACGTGGAGCAAAAGTCAAAATCATAAAAAAAGTCCAGGCTTACTGGCCTGATAGAGGCTGGTGGAACCCCTAGACTATGGCCCTTAGTTACCCTTTGGGCCTGGAACTGAACTCACCCCCACAGCTCAACTTTCAGCCCAGCACTAGACAGGCCTTCAAGGTGAAGGCCTGGGAAGGTGCGCTCCTTAGGACGGTCAACCATGGGGATCGTGAGGCAGAGCGAACTCGATGGGTGCGACTGGCAGATTCCCTTCTGTTTCTTCACTTTTTGTGGCTCTTCTGGAAAGCCCTTTGCTAGGTTGCTCTGGGAATTGCTGCGTGTGTACTTCCTTCACTAAGTCTCGACCAGGCGCACCGTAGGCCATTCAGCCTCCTCTCTGTGTTTGAGGAACTGCCTCCTTACAGGAAGAGGCTCTTTCCTCTGTTGTTGTTGTTGATGGCTGTCATGGAGTCGGCCCCGACTCACATGAGGCCGTGAACAACAGAAGGAAACCCCGTCCTGGCCATCCTTGTGAGAGGCTGTGGGTCGGAGTGCTGGGATCACGGGCTCCGCTGGCTGGTTTTCAGATGTTGGTCCCAGGCCTCTCCTCCTGCTCTGTCTCTGTCGGAAGCCCCCCTGAAACCGGGTCAGCAGCACAGCACCACGCAGGCCTCCGCGGACAGAGAGGAGCAGCCACGCACGGGGTGCAGCGGCCGAGAACCGCAGCCGGGTCTCCTGCGTGGAAGGCGAGGATTCTCCCACCGAACCACCGCTGCCTCTCTTTCCACTGTGTTGCTGGTGTCGAAACTCACTGTCAGAACGATTCCGACTCACGGTGACTCCCTTGTGTCAGAGCAGAGCATAGTGTCCCCACCTGTGAGCTTTGGATGCAATCACGCAGCCTTCCCTCCAAGGTGGCCCTGGGTCGGTCTGGACCACCATCCTTTCAGCGAGTGTAGTGCTTAACCACCGTTCGCACCAACGAGGGGTTCCTCTTCCCAATTCATTTCCCAGATGCACCCACCTCGGCTTTAAGTTGGAAGCTGGACTTGGGAAGCAGACTGGCCTCCGTTACAGCAACAATCCTGGAAGCTGCAGCAGCCTCCTCCCAGGACCCAGGGGCACAGAGGCCGCGAGCTCCCATCAGCATGCAGGGCTCGCTGTCAGTGGGGCCAGGGTGCGAGCTGTGGCATCAGGCCCTCAGCAGTGGGACGGTGCTGTCCTCCCCACCCTGCTCCGTAAGCCTCATTTCCCACCCTCCTGGAGATTAGATGTGCTTAGATTAGAGCCTTAACTGTGTTTTCTGCTACATCAGAAATGCAGTCCCGTCGGGGAAATACAAATGCCAACAAGAACACGCCACCCTTCCACGCACAGGAGGGAGGAGACACAGCACAGCCCACTGGGCAGGAAGCAGGGCGTGCAGGCGGGCACAGACGCTCTGGAGCACAATGTGGTCATGTCTAAGGGACAGGAGAATGCAGCTGTCCGTGAGCCAGAAACCCACTCCCAGCCACACAGGCCAACCAACAGCACACACGGATCAGTGCCAGGCTCCTCGCAGCAGTGCTATTTATCAAACCAAACCTTTCAAACAACCTGCTTTTCTATTGTAAAAA